AGATGGCCAGAAATTGAACTTAATGCCCCATGGCATGTCTACACTCTAATTTAAACATGACAGGGCAAGTTCACTGCCCAAGGACCAACAGGCACAGACCAACCTACATCTATGATCGTGAACTCACTGTCCCCAAAACGGAGTGGCCTTGTCCTAGCTTCAAACGAGCGTGCATGGGCCTGAGCAGAGGAAATACCCCACAGGCTTTTGTGTCTGCTTACCTCTATACCTCATGTATTCTTCCTCACCTTATGATACACCATCACAGTGATGCAATGATGATTTTTAAAGTGTTTAGAAAGAGTCCCTTCCCCTGTGTCTTCAGATGGTCATTAAAACTATCCACAGCAGCACACATCCTGCATGTCCAAAGCTGAGGCTCCTGAAGTCTCTGCTACGGCTCATGCTCATTGTGGCCAACTGCCAACTCTTTCTGAAAACCACTGGGGCTAGTGCGACAGAGGCTACAAGAGCCACTGCTCACCAGAGACACTGCTCTGTACGGTCGAGCTCCTGCTTTTGGGAAATGATGCAGGAAATGAAACTGGTGTTGGAGCTCAGCCGTGCTGGTTCACACCAAGGGTCTGCACTGAGCCTTTTTTTCTTCTAAAGGGAAGAAGTAAAAAGAACTGCCAGTGCTATGGAAATTTTTCACTTTTTCTTACCGATACGGTGCATCATATCCTGATATAACCTCAGGCTTATCAACACTCTTTTCAGAAGACTGGCATGACAGAGTAGCATATTATTTGAATGGTAATCTTACAAGCCTCATTATTTTATTATGCACTTCCTTTATAACAAACATTGCACCTTAACACAAGGAATAGTCTTACTTTAAGATCATCGTGCCTTTACCCCTCATTGTGAAGTCCGTTCCCCTATAAGCCTTGCTGCATGTTTCGAGCCAAGATCACACCTTTTGGATGCAAGTTAAGGATGCCAGTATGAAAATTCCTCCCACCTCACAACCGTTATTTACAAAACTAAAAGAAGGCTTGTAACTTCTTTCTTGGGACTGTTTAAGCCATAGATAATTGTTCTCCGTTAGCTAACACACAACGCCCACGTTTGATTAATTCTCCATCCATGGCTTGAGCCTTTGCAAAGTGAAGTGAGCAACTCGAGGTCTTATTTCTACTATGTCTTAGCATTTAGATTTTTGACAACTGGAGCTGACACAAAGTTATGGCCCACTGAAAGAACCCCACACTTCTGCATTATGCTTGAATTCCAGGTGCTCTCTGGAAACTAAAACCCACCACAGATTCACATGAATGCCCTGACAGCTTTCCTCTTGAAGACAGACCACTGAAATTATAACAACACATGATGCAAAGCGTAAAAATAGAAGTATGCTATGCTCAGGTCAAGATTCATATCTGCATTTAAACCCTGTTCTAAAAATCAAGTATTACTTACTCTCACTCTGCTAGAAATCCTTCTATTTTAAATCATGACAATGTGATACAAGAAGCTCCCAGCTGCTTAAAGATCCGTTCCAAAGAGTATTTTTCGTATTCTGGTACACCTGTCTGTCAGAGGCACTCAACACAGAGCAACACTTCTGTTTACCTTTTAGAAAATACTTCCTCCTCTCCTTCAACCCACTCTGAAAGCCTTTTGATACTTCTTACTTAACAGTAGGATAAATCTTAAAAAGTTAACACCACAATATATTGCATCATCTCTTGCAACCTGTGGCATTTGGGATGGGACTGAAGCATTTTGGGATTTCATAAATGAGCCGTGAAGAATAAAAATATACATTCCTTCTGCATTTGTTATTTAAAAAGGTATATATTTTTGAAAGATGGGGGAAAAGAGGGGAAGCATATACACCATAGTATTGTGATCTCAAGGTTTAACTCAATTCTCAAGTGTTTTTTATTTGCATAAAGCATAGTTTTGCATGAAGGCACGGCATAATTTAGAATTATTTTCTCCACTGAGAGTCAGACACAGCTATTAGATGATAAATCTGCTGAAGGCAATTAATCTCTTTCTCCAGCTCAGGAGCAACTAATGCATTGTGAAGGACTTGTCTGGGCCAGCAACTATTTCGCCTATCTTCTGCAGGAAATACCCTCAAATTTAATTTTCATAGTGACTGAAAAGAAGGAAGCCTTAGCTTTCTTCCACTTGATGTAAAAGGAGATCTCTTACTTCAAAGGGGAATTCTGTTCCAAGAAACTTTATAGACCATCTACATGCCTTCCCCTACTTGAGATGCAGTCTACCATAGAACCACCTTTTTTCTATAATTCCTCCTGTTCTAACAAATGTTCTGTTTAAGGACAGGAAAGTTTTTCTGATAGTTGAAGATTTAAATGTTTGTTGACAAAAAGACTCTCCAAAAATATCTTACAAAAACACTCTGACATTTTGATAGCTTCTAAGTGGTATTTTTTTTTTTTTTCCTTCAGAGTCTGCTTTTAGAAAATGTTACCTAATAAATTTTAACATAGACCTGAGGACAACAGCATATATTTAGTGAGTTGTGTGATCCTGCAAGAAGTGTTAAGTAGAAGCAGCTCAACTGGCTCAATGTACAAAGGTAAGATCAAAAAAAGACATATTTTACAAAAGCAAAGAGGAAATAAACAAAATTAGCCAGTGGCCATCCAAAACACCAGTCTGCATTTCAGTTTTTAATGTACAATGTACTGTCAGGATATTCAGACAAGTTCTTTTAGAGAAGCATACTAAGAAAAAAAAAAAAGATTAACTAAAAAATGACAGTCAGTTCTAAGTTAAAATGACTCAATGATAAAAGAAAAAAAATACTTTGGAAGGGGATTAAAAACTTAGGTACCTAAGTCCCAAAGTCTTTTTGTTTTCTTTTAATATTAAGTCACTTAATTTTTTACAGTCTATGAACAGTATGTTGTCTGCTTTGGATTAAGTCAACATTTACTATTCAGGTAAAAAGAATGAAATTGCAGCAACTGCTGCAATATTTTTTTTTAAATTATTAAAAAAAACAAAACCAAAAAACACTACTTTAAGATGAAAATACAAGTCCTACATTATTGATTAGATCTCTAATTCCTGAAAGCATTAAGACTACAAGTTCTCTCTTTTGCTGAGAAACAGCAAAAACATCCATAAGTAATCTTGATTGGGTAGTAATGCTACTCGCTCTATGTCAGGCAAACTTATCCAGCCAAAGGCTCTCTGTAAACTAAATGGAGATACAAGATTTCTTTTGGAAGGACTTAAACTCCCACTAGCTATGCATGTGTGTTAAATGTAGCTCATCCATATCAAAACATAAGACAGATATGAGAATACATGGCCCTTCTCCATTCCTTTCTCCTATTCCCATTTCTCCTGTCTATGCATTTTCATCCCCTTCATGTGTCAGCCTTAGTGCTTACCAAAGTTTCAATCTCTTAATTCAAGACAGCCTAAAACCACCCACCATTTTGGTCAGGACAGTCATTAACCCAGCTGAAGACTACGCCAATGTTGCAACAGGGGCTGCTGAGTACTAGAAGCGATGCAATTGAAGTGACAGAAGCACACACCAGAAAAGCAAAACCATTTTCAGTGCAAATAACTTGTCAAGTTATACACTCATTTAGTGATGTTTTCTCTCTTCTCCAATCTAAACTTATGGAGAAACTGAGCTACAAAGCAATACTATTCCTGTCATTAGTAATCATCTTAAAGGTTTCCTTGCTCCTTTCCAAAGGACCTTCTAGATCGTTCAGGTTTTATTGTTAAAAACCACAGTACTCCATTCAAAAATGCTTTATGTAAAATACTTGTAGTCTATTTATCCTTGCTAAACAACCACAAACATTTCTATACTCCTTGGTGTATAAGCAGAAGGAAGTTTGCTAGCAACAGCAGAGTTCACATCAGCTGCTAAATGGTGCTTTATGTCAGTAAATTGATATACAGGATAGTAGCAGTAATCCTTTAAAATGGTTAAAATTTCAGGAATCAGAGAAAGCATTGTTCTGGGAATGCGTTCACTGCCTAGGCAGACTACGAAAACCTTGCAAGTTAAGAGTTCAACAAAGCATTCAACACCATATTTTCAAAATTGTCTTCGACGGTTACAGCAATATAACATGCAACAGGTTCATATGATTCAATCTGTTAGCAATGTACTCAGCGATGAGAACAGAACAGCAGAAAGCTGCTTTGCTCCCTGAGAAGATTTGAGAGCCAGTACCATTCTGTCACAGTATAATACCTGAAACATCTGTAGTCTCATGAGATTTTAACAGCTTAAGGGAAGTACATTCTGGTTTTGCACCCTTCTCACAGACTTGAGGTTTTGGCTGTCATCGGAACAACTCTCCACCCTCCCACTCCTCCAAGTACAACCACTTCTTCAAGCATGCTGACAAAAAAGGAACAGGGTAAATTAGTTCTGGGCCAAAACAGAGCAAGCTAAACCTTTTACTTAAATATTTCATGAAAATTAAGCACTTCTGTGCCTTCTTCAACACATCAGATCTACCAGAATGTAATCATTTCCATCCTTTAAGCAGTGTGCACCACAGTGTGGACAGTATCTATTAGAACAGCCTAGGTAAATAATGAAGCAGTAAGAGGTTGTGCACGTCCAAGTGTCAAGGCTACTCAAGTTCTTCCAGAAGGAGATGTATACTAGAACAGTCTGCCTCAGGTTCCCTTTGCTACTGAAACTCTTGTAAGAATTTGAGAGTGTGCTAATGGAATGAACTGGTATTTTAAAACTTCTTTTTCAGAAATGCATTTGTTTTATACCGCTGGGATGCTCACTGAACGAAAGACAAGTAAAGACTAACTCCTACACCTAAAGAGTATTTTCAAAATATTGACGAGAAGGTATCAGACAGGACGAACTCATTTTTCTTTTTAAAAGCTACCAGCTGCACTTCTGTGCTGCGTCACTCGGGGCCTAAAGTACGCTTACAAGAAGTGTCCCCGGAAACATGGCCTCCTAGACAATGTGTAATATCTAAGCTTAATACAGAGTAAATTAAGCAAAGGAAACAAGCTCTTTTAAATGTTTTTATTACAGAAAAACAGACGGCTTACACTTGACTTAAAAAAGCAGCATTATTTCGTGAATTCAAAGTTATTACAGTGAAGTTGCTTTAAGAAACCTTTAGAGACTGAAGAAAAAAAAAAAAATGCCAGATCCCCCCCTCAGACAGCATTCTAGATTACTTGCATGACCACAGCAAAACCCTTAATTTCAACATCACTTCTGACACCCAGTATATGACTTGTATGCTTTTCTGCTCCCCGTGTCTTGTTGAATATAGCTGGGAGAGGATTTGTTGAAAATGGCAGTACATTTCAAGTTTAATTTTCAACAGTTTAGTACACATCTGAGTGGTATTACAGTTCAGAAGTGACCGAGACATGCGTTTTCCTCCTAACTCTAGCAGTTAAGTGTTACAGTTTTAAGAAACAGATCCCAGTGTGATCTGTTTCTTACACAGTATTTATCACATTCAGGTCCATATCTCAAGATTTCTCAGCAAGATATTTGGCTACTACTGATTATACACACAAACAAAAATATCCACAAAAATGAAGGCTCATAGTTGAAACAGTTCTTAGCAGTGCAGCAGAATTCAGAATTATGGGGTTTTTTATTACACACCATAGAAGGAATAGCAGTGTTCCAGTGACCACTTCATTTTTTTATTAAATAAAAAGCTGCAGGTTTCCAGCCTGAACCAAAATCAAATATGTAACTGATCTGTATTTGAAGTCTTAAGAGACAAATCAAGAAAACATATTACTGCCTTAATAGTCCTACATCTTTTACTATCAGCACTGAGTTGTGTTAAAAGTCCAAAGAAATGTACAGGCTTGTCATTAAGTGATTTTTTTTTTTTTTTAAAACAACTCAAGAGCTCTACACCATGTTAAAAAAAAAACAAAACCCTTTCTAAACACATTTTTAAGCATCTCACTCAAATATATGGTAAAACTACACCTCAAAGATTCTGTCAAAAAATTAAAATAAAATCAAAAAGCAAGAAAACTCAAGTCACTATGTACAACTAGCTATAATGACAAAAAAATGAAAAAAGGGGAAAACAAAAGGGGAAGAAAAAAAACATCAGACACCTGCTACTTGGTATTCTATGAACTCTTTTCCTCTCCTCCCAAAAGGAAAAAGGTTGGACTCAAAATCAGACATAGAATTTTTCTGAAAAAAAATTCCTAATCTCCTTAGATAGTTTATACTGTTTGATAACGAAAATCTTTGAAGTCAGGCATCTACTTACTGTACTCTGCACTGCAACACGAAGCCAGCTGTTACCAAGCTACTTAAACAGAACAAACAAGTTTCTTTCCTACAAGGAAAAAGGATGCAATACATTTTCCCTGGTTATGATTTATATCATCATGAGGTTTACTCAAACACAGAACTTGTCTATTTAAGTTTACCCATGTTTTTTATTTAAAATTCCTTAATTTAGTGCTATAGCATAGTAATTTCTTATGTGATCAAGCTGCCTTATAAGGAGGACATTATAACCTGTGTTATACAGTAATATAGCCTGAAAAAAAACAACTAACAAACAAAAAACCAACAAAAAGAAAAAAAAGCCAGCATGAATACTAAGAGGAAGAAGAATGCAAGTTTTTTTTCTGTGGTACTTTCCAAGGCATCAACGCCAAAGGCTGCTTTATAGCTTATCCTTGGAAATTTTAACCCTGGACACAAATTAGTCCTTTTCACAGTCACGGGGTTGTATTAAAAGTGACTTTTGTGATTAAACAGGTAACAAAAATGCATTATATTGACCAATCTCTACGAATGTTATTATTATGCTCTATTAATTCCCTCCTTCAGAGTAGGTAACAGTCTCAAACAAAAGTATCAACACCAACTACCTCAAAGATACGTAACAATCTGAATTAAACACTAAAACACATTCACACCATTCAAAAAGCTTGTCATTAGAGAGGTATTCAAAGTAGTCAGAGGGTGTTTATATTTATGTCTTTCTTTATCAAGTTGTACTGTGAATTCAGAAAACTTAAAGATCATTTGAACTATAAGTTTGTGTAAGCACTCATACAAAACAATTTAACAGGCAATCATGTTCTAAAAGGTTTATAATGTAGTTTTCCAATATTTTTAGCTGCTAAAACACTAATAAAGACTTAATTTAGCATATAACTCCCACATCCTATAGCAAGTAAACATTCTTGACTGCCAATAATTATATTATTACATGGTAAAACACTCCTCCAATTCCTAACAATTTACATTTAACTTGAGAAAATAGAAAAGTTTGGTGTTTTTTTTCCAAAATAATGTGCAACAGGTAGAACACGTGACTTCTTGGAAAACTCTAAGTTGTCTTTAGCTATCAGGCTCTGAAAGACTACAGATCTCTTAATCTTTCTTAGTTTTCAACCTTAATTTTATATGAAAGAGTAAAGTTTAGCTGGGCTATATTAGTAGTAGTTCATCACATACACTAAGGTCAAATAACATTATCTTTATCTCACTGTTCTGGAAATGAACAATTCAAAACTCTTAAAAAAAGGTGTAGAATTGTACCTGCAAATTTCTTCTGTTTAAATTGCTCTTTGCGAATCTAGTAAAGAGAATTAAGAGAACATCCTTTTTTTTTTCTGTCAATTTCTGAGAAAATTTGAATACATGCAAGTCAAAACTACCATAATGCAGACAAAAAGGTCCTCTTTCATGAAGATCATCAATAAATGACTACCTTCAATAAATAAGTCTATTTGGAAATTCTAGAGAATTCTTTTGCTAAACAAGTTAGTCTTTTTTCTTTTCCATTACATCTTTCTGTTTAAGCTCTCCATCTGAAAGTTCTGTATATTTTCCGTTCTTTTCCTCCTCTTGTTCTTCCTCACTGCCTTCGTCCGTGAGCTCTCGATCACTGTTTTCCTTTTTAGCTGCCTCATGTTCATCTACCCCTCCATCTGTATCAGCTGTGCAGATTCCGTAACACATAATGCTGATGACCCCAAGGGGCAACCCAAAGAGAAAGCATCCCAGAAGTGGTGAACTCTTGAACACAGACTGTTGAAACACAAATTTGAAGTAAAAAACACCTTCAGTGAACATACAAAATTACTGCATTACTTCTCTGTATTTACAGAGTCAGTTGGTTTTTTGGTTTTTTTTTGTTTGTTTGTTTTTCTTTTCCCCCAGAAAGGACGAGTCCTCATTTTTTTTAATGAACTTACAGTAGGAACTGTTAAGACTTCAAAGTTCAAATATTATAATGTTGCATTGGGACAGTTAATATTAACATGCCAACCGTATATCCTATTCACTGTTTGAAGCTTGAGAAACAATTGTTCTAACAGCGTTAAAATAACACTTTGAAGCAACCAGTTTCATCTCTTATTTGTGTCTTATTCTCGAAAATTAGTTTGAGTAATAAGGGATCTGCAGAAATGTTGTTATTAGACAGCTTCCTATTGAAGAGTCGTTTAATGGCACAGGAGGAAGGACTTTTGGTTTCAGAAACTGATGGCTAAATGTTGCACATTCACAGAAGTTTGGAAGCCACTCATTCAGAAACAATTCAATTTAAATTCACAGCACAGGTTTTTTTTGCTTGTGTAGAAGTGAAGAAATGGATTTGCGTACATCTTCCCAACAAAATTTTGTTAAGCATAATTAACCTATAAGAAAGATGATAAAAATATTTGCTCTAAAACTACACCGAGTGTAGTATTTAATCCCCTTATGCTCTAACCAATTAGACTGAAACCATAACATTTCTCAGAACATGAAAGTGTTATCAATTTCAGTCAAAGGATGTCAAAAGGGTCAAGGAAAAGATTTTGAATTCTCCCTGTTCTATCCCTTAAAATACATGTCAGACTAATACAGAAGAGGAGTGAAAAATGAAGAAACTAATCTATGTTGAATATTTAGCACACGGGAAAATATTATTAAAAACTTTAATCAAGAAGTTCATTTGGCTTAAACCTAATGTATATATACCTGTAACATATACACAAGACATATAATATAAACAAACTTAGATAAAAATATTTCTAAACCCTCTGAAAACATTTGCATCTTGATTGACAAGGGCACCACCTAAGTTAATGAAAAATAAAAGACTTACCACTACAGTAGACTTGGCATCATAGATTATTCTCTTGATTCGTTGCAGAAGTCCATCACCACCCTGTGCCTGAAATTTCAAATGGAACCATGTCAAAACTGCTGACACTTTTCAGTTATGATTCCAAAAGTTCATTCTTCAGACCTTGCAATCTTAAGTCCCTTTAGAAGGAAATGAAAAGTAATTATTCGTGCATCTCATGATGCCCAGACGCTCCAGCTTCTCAAGAAAGGATAAACATTTTAAGTCTCATGAAAAATTCTCTCACAATTGTTTTAAACAATCAGTGCAAGATTTAACAGTGGATTGGCACTCCACTCTCTTACCATAGAGGAACACAAACAGAAGCTACTAACTGTTCCGATGTAACAATTATAAAAGTGCAGAGATTTTCTGAACTTTCCTGCAGCTGATGCATATCTATTTATGGATTATGACAGAAGCAGTTAGAAAAATCTAAGGACTAAGTAACAAGAAAATATGAAAGTGTAATAAAGAAAACTTGTGTCAAGCAATGACAGACTATACCTACATTGCCACCTAATTTGTTAGTCTTCAAAATAACCACATGAATCCAAAGCCAATTTGTCTGTTGAACAGGACCAGTTTTCACCTGTCTTGAGTTGGCAGAGAAACAAATGGGAAGAAAACCTACATTTTGGAGGTCAACTGATCAGCACTTGACCCTGACCAAAACCTCTCAAATTACAAAAGTCCACAAAGGTGAAACAGACTCACAGAAGGCTACCTATAGGGCCTTACAGAAAATAGCAAGAAACTCAAGGTGAATAATCCAACACTTCCCAAGGAAGGAAGGGGGGGAACGTTATACTTCTCAGAAATTTCACTGTGGTTCAGAAAGTCTGCATCCTGTTACTTGTTTACCAGCATGCTTTAAAGACCATCATTCCTCAACAGCTGCACAATTTCTTGGGCCTGACTGTAGCCAAAGTAGTGGCATTTTATGTCCATAGACACCATTTAGCTTAAATGAAGTCACATTCTGTATTGTGTCTTTTATTAGCGCTCTCACATACATAAAGAGATGTGAATTTAGACAGATCTTTAATCATTCTAGCTGCAATACTGCAAACAAAAGGTAGAAAGACTTAAGTGACACTATGGCAAAAAACACAAGGCATCACAAATGAATTTCCTCAAAGTTAAAAAACAGAGAGAAACCAGTTTCATTTGTTGTTTCAACCAGAAGGATATATTTAAATAGAGCCAAACAGATGTAGATAACGTAATTCAATGCAATTAACAAAGCATTACAAAAATGAGAATTGAAGAACAAAGAACGGCCAGATAGGTTAACAGTAATACCCCTCACCTTACAACTGGAAGCATGGCCAGTAAAGTCATGAACAGCAAGCAAATCCACCTATATTATGTTGCTACACCAATTTGTCAGATTAAATAAACCAAAGTACCCCATATGACTGAAAGGATCTACAGCATTACTTGTCATTACCACCCGATGACCTAAAACTGCTGCAATAACATAAAGTGGGATTGAGCTAACACAGTAAGCATTCAATATACAGTGAATTGGGGCTTAAACCAACATCGGCTTCTCCCAGGAGGCAGCCAAACGATTTGTTAGCACTGCCCCCCTTTGTGGCAAAGCCTTCCTGCCCCATAAGCACAAATGAAAGCTCTGATCCATGATCTCTTTCCTCATCCATGCAACATAGCCTTCTGTTCAACTTACACTGAGGGAATAAGCAAACCTGAGTTTGTTTTGCCAACATTAAAAAAATTGTCCAAGTCATCAATTCCAGATTTAATTTTGTTGTTTTAACGAAAGACAGCTCATTTTCAGTCTTAGAGAAGAGAGAGAACGGTAAGCTTGTGTCTGTTTGTAATATGCAAAGCAAGTATAAAACTGGCTTTTGAATCTGAACCTATCATTCATCAAGCTATTGGATTTATTAATTTACCACCCAAAAGACAGGGCAGAGTTGAATTATGCACTATAAAGAAAATTTTAAACAAATGCATTTAAAGCAAACCAGGAGATTAATAAAAAGCTCTCCATTTACCAGTGACACCAGTAAAAGGAATATCAAGAGAAGTCAGCTAACATTACACTATAAGCAAAAAAAAGCTTGCTTTCCACAAGAGGTTCTGCAGTCAGAACAGCGAGCAATGGCACACCTCAAGAATTCACAATCACATATTCACTGACAGCACCCAAGACAGGAAGACAGACAGGACAGGAAGATAAAACACGTGACACAGCAATCAGAGTAAACAATTTTTTTCCCTTTAGCATTTAAGGAAATAAACACCAAACAACATATTCCAAGTCACAACGAAGACTTACTTCAGCTGTACCATCCAAAATATCGTTAATAAACTGAACCATGTCTTCTGTGTTCTCAATGTGCCTATCTGGTAGAAAATACTGCTGATTGGAGGTATTCAATACAACAATAGTAGGGATTGTCAAGTCACTGGAAATATAAAACAGATAGTTTATACATTTAAAGAACTACCGTGTAAAACACTGCAATTCAAATAATTCCTACATAATTTAAAAGGGTATCCATTAATCTTCACTTTGCATGTGTTCCTTATAGCAGTTCCTTAAAGGCAAGAGGGAAGGGGGAAGAGAATCACCTGAATGGTACGAGCATGTGTCTCATTAACCTTTTTTCCTTCACATCTGTGTCAGTGACACTATTGAAGCTGATTGCATTTTGCATACCCATAGTGACTGCAAATCAGGTACCTTATGACTTGCCAGTTAGTAAGAGATCACAGATAGTAGCCTTGTATATGAAATGTGCTATTAGCACAACTCATTAAGTGTTTTAGTGCGCAAAGGCAAAAGTATAATCCAAAAGTTCAATCCCATACAGCCATGGTCCAACTGATCAACTCTATCCGTCAACTTCTACCTGTCAAGTCAAAAGAATAAACCATACCAACCAAAGTTTTTCTACCAACCAAAGTTTTTCTACACCTCTTTTAGATATGGCAAATGAGTTACTGAGTTTTTAAACAGTCATTGCTCAGCAGTTGACCTTCACGTGCATAAGCATTGTTTAGTATAACAGAATCAGAAAGAAAGGAAAAAAAAAAAAGAAAAAAGGTTAGAAATTAACTCCGGAGATAAACCAGTATAATCTACTGTTCAAAGTAGCCCTAAATTCAAAATTAGACCAGATTTAGGAACATTTAATACTGCATACGTACATAGAATCATAGAATCATTAAGGTTGGAAAAGACCTCTAAGATCATCAAGTCCAACCATCAACCCAACACCACCAGGCCCACTAAACCATGTCCCTAAGCGCCTCATCTACACGTCTTTTAAATACCTCCAGGGATGGTGACTCAACCACTTCCCTGGGCAGCCTGTTCCAATGTTTAACCACTCTTTCAGTAAAGAAATTTTTCCTCATGTCCAATCTAAACCTCCCCTGGCACAACTTGAGGCCATTTCCTCTCGTCCTATCACTAGTTACTTGGGAGAAGAGACCGACACCCACCTCGCTACAACCTCCTTTCAGGTAGTTGTAGAGTGCAGTAAGGTCTCCCCTGAGCCTCTTTTTCTCCAGGCTAAACAACCCCAGATTGTTCATCAAGAAAGATTTAAAATACATTAAATAAGTAAGGTGAAAAATCTCCTGTACTGCCAGTTTTCTACAGCTCTATCAATAATGAATTTAAATACTAGGTGGCTTTCCTTCACAGCAGAAACAGTGCAAACCTTGTTTTTCTACATTTTCACTCTTGTCTAATACTGCCCCACCCATGCACATTTGCAATCCATGTAATATTGATGATGATTGCAGCCTTAACTGTGGCTATCAATTATTTCATGAAACTGTTGTTTAGCATGTACTCAAGATTCCTGTTTTTCTTTGAAGTCATGGAAATTATTCTAAATTTTCCTCACACATTTTAGGTGTTTTGTTTCTCTGAATTTAAATTCAATTCCAAACCTAGAAGTGAACAAGTTTAATACTTATACATGAAAATTTTCTAAACTCCTAGAAAGCCAAATACTTCAAGACTTAAGGTGCAGACCACATTCCCAGTACTCAAGTTAAAAGCATGGTGGCACCTCAGAAAATGTAAGGCCAACTACAGAGATAACTAATAATTTCATCCTTTCAAAGGAACTTCAAAAACAAACAAACAACAAAGCTTTGCCAACAGTGACAACCTGCAACATAAGATTCTCTACATACAATTTTTCCTTGACATTTTTATTCTCTATTTATTAGGAACAAACAAGAAATATAAGTAGGAGGCAATCAAACCAAGTCAGGTGTTTTTGCAAGTGCCTGGTAACAAGTTATCAAACTCTGCCAAAACACCTCATCCCAGCCAAAACAGAACACATTTTATTACTTGGATGCAGAAAAGATCTGCCCCCTCCCCCCAAAAAAAGTGCTTCTATTACGTTTAACAGTCTGGTAACTGAGTTTCTTGGAGTTGGTTGTAGAGCAGCTGAAAGACAAACTTCATATACAAATTTTATATGCTATACAGAGATTTATAAAACCACGTTTAATATGTTTCTTCCAAGAGCTGAGGAATTAATACTCTACATACACCTACAGTTGACATTCCAATGATGCTATATATCTTAGCTTACACAAAGATGTATCTTTGCTTTCAGTTTTCTTCTTTTGTGCATAGTTTTAACTATACCGTTTTTAATCCAACAAAAGCATATTCATCCACTGCAGAAGAGACAGATAACTCCATTGGTAGACATTATAATTTAAGCCAAGTTCATAAGTATACTTCTATCAGGGACTATTACTTCTATCCTCACGAATCATACAATATTTTGTCCTTTGTGAAGAAACAGAATTTGTTCCTATGTGCATCTAGCACACTAAAAAAAGTATTCTGCAATAGATTTCTCACAATTAGGGAGAATTTCTCTATTTCCACTTACTGCCATCTAGTGGAAAACTGAAGCACTTGCAATACAGTTTTACTCGAATTATTCAAGTAGCCACATGAAGAGCAGGTACTTATAATACTGAATATATTTTGCTGCATTCTTTTGCTGCTTTCCACTTATGCTGGAAATGTATACACTTTGTTTAGAAAACAATTAAAAGCCTGTGAGTACTTTAACAGCAATGTCCCATTCACTACAAATTATAAAATCAGGCATTTTGCAGATTAAGTTAAACAATCCAGCTGAACAGATCTTGCCACTACATCACTACTGCTGTAAGTGGCAGTTCTGTCTTCTTCCCCTTCATTTTCTTCCTCCCACAGACCTCATCTCCCTCCCCTGCTTCTTTGCACATCAGTTCTGGTACTCAGCAGAATACACGGGAAGACGTTTAAGGGTTTTGTTCGATCAGCAAAGTAACTCCCCTATTCGCCTATCCAAAAAAGCAAATACTTTTCTGCCAGATAAACAGGATAAAACAGCTCAGCAGACAGTCAGACATAAGAGCCTGCACAGGAGAAGCAATTAATGAAGTGAAGAAGGTCTCGCTTTTGGCAACTATAAAGCACTAGATAACTCACATTACTTAACTTCAATTGAGACACAGCTGTTTTTAAATTAATTGTATTCAGGTGTTAATCTACAGACATTCCACAGAAATACAGACTTTGTGCCTCATGAGTCCCCATGAAGCTCCTAGAACCTTCAGGGGCATGAACACATGCTTTGATCCCCAAGAAAAGGGTTTGGAAAACTTACAGAGCTGGTGTATTGACCCCTGTTTTTCCCTTCTTTCACTCAAAATGCCAGAGGAGAACAAGTAGTCAACTGTAAATGCCAAGCAACTTAACTCTCTAATTACTGCATTTTTAGACAAGGATCATAATAAGGGCAAATGTCATGCATCTTGTTAAGCTACTTATGTATTTCAAAATGTACCATGTACATATCAAGTGCAGACAGCATCTTCCATGCATTTTATGCTTCTTCTCTGCAGAAGCATATTTCTATGCATGCCTTAAAAATGCTTCAAGAACGAAATGTGCCTCTTCAGAAGTAGAAAACACAGATAATGCATAACCATTATTTACATTTCCTCTTACAAATTGACATAACTTTTAATTTGTCTAGTGTCCTGTAAATTAACAAAGGAAAAAAAAAACCACCACAGTTCTAATAGAGTAATTAATTTAACAAAGTACACATAAAAGATAAGCTTTGTCAATCAGCATTATCAGTAAACCAAACTTCCAACATTAAATTATGCAGTTTCATTTAACGAACAACTGATACTATGCTACATGCTGAATTCTGAGGACAGCAATTTTTTTTTTTAACCTATGAAAGGCAGGAGTTCTTCATAAGATTGTTTTCAATTAAATATACTTAGCAACAAATACAAGAGAAGAAAGAATATTCAAATAAGAATTTACTTACTCCATTAGTAAACTGTTAATGTAATCATTTCCATCCATATGGCCAAACTGGAAATCCCTGTAAAAGAAGCAGTGAACAACAGAATGATGAAAAAGAAAACAGAATAGTGGGTTTCAGCAAAAAGTTCCTTCTTAAATATTTTTCCTATAACTGAAGATGAGATCACACACTCAGCAACATAATTTGAAAATTGACGACCTAAAAGACGGTCAGCATCCCAAAACACAGTTAATGGAATGGTCTTATTAAAAATCAGTATATGAATATAAAAGCAGGCACTATAACATTTTTCATGTAGAAATGACTGCTGTCTTAGAAAGGTTAATATAGAAGTTCATTTAAGATATCATCGTACAATGTGTCCCTACCTGTGAAAGTGATCCCGATAATCTCTAGCAACTTCCTGAATAATAGATTTTAGTCTGGAGGGAAAAAAAAAAAGTGACATTGATAATTCAGGATATACTCTGTCAAAATAACAAACAATAACCATGGAGATTTCCCCAGTAAGCAGCAAATAGTACCTCATCAGCAATAAGGATTCCCTATTCCATTAACAAAAAACACCTCGTTCATCTTGCTTGGTTTCTAAGGTTTGAAAGGTTATCTACCACATTGTCTCAACACGAGAAAAACACAGACAGTCAGGCTGCTTCACTCCATCTACTGCCTTCTGAAGATGCAGCACTGTGACTCTGAAGAAAATCCAAAGAAAATAGCATACACAGTACTTGAACAATATTTTCGTAGTCTAATTATGTATGCAATCAGAAGAGGACAGTGGAAGGTCTTGTTCCACTCAGTCTCTTCAGCAAACTCCAACCCAACTGAAAACACCCCTTCTTAATATAAGTTCCACAGACAACTAATATATAAGCATCACTAAATTCATTTTTAATGCAACTGAGCTGAAGAACAGTCATTTGAGATAAACTTAGTAAGTTTAAACAAAGTCATCTGAACTCAAGTATTCTCGTCTATGTTTAAAAGGTGACACAATAGCTTTAAAAAGCTACGTGATCACTGTTTGCTCCTGTGATCTCATTAACAAATGGCAGAAGAGTGATGCAGGAACTCCCATAATCTCATTGAATTCACATGTGCTTCAACAGAGCCATAAATTAAGTAAATTCAGTAGGCTGAAGTCATAAATTAGAGAACATCCACAAGTTAGCATTTCTTAATATTTAAGAAACTTCAAAAGTTCTCTATGTCATACCAGCACATTTCTCCCATAGTGTCACCAATACTCAATTCTGTACCTGGTATGTTCCACTGAAGAGTTTTTATCATCAATGACTGCAATAGCCACAAGTTTTCCTAAAATAAGGAATAAAATACTTGAAACCATTTAAAAAGAAACACACGTTCTCAGATGGAAAATACTCCAACCTAGAAGATCAGATACTTTCCAGGGACAGGAATTAGTTTTAAGTTTAAACTAACGTCGATGCCAAATAGCCTCTTCTAGCTGACCAAACTGTGATTTTCTTAAAGCTACTGAAAATAAAATAAGATGTGGCTTAATGTCACACCACTAGCATTCTATGAAATGCCTACCTATAGAAAGAAGTTAAAAGGGGAAAAACAGATAAAAATTAATTCCCTACTCAAGCTGCATAGTTGCATATACCTAAATATGAGGCTATGGAAACCTTTATTATATAATGGCAATTACAAGCTGATTCTAACTGATTGAATCACAATTGTATGGATTCAGTAACGACTATTTTTCACACTATTGAAAATTTGGAGTATTATCCTTACAGAAAAAAACATGGAAAATTTACTGGCAGAGCCCAAAATTCATTACATCAGAAAAACACAGACCTCTGTCAGAGGAGTTTGAAGACCAAACACCAGAATATACTGATCTTTTCAGGATTCACTTTGTGAAGTTTTTCTGATTAAAAGGAAAAAAAAGTGCCTCCTAAGGGGAACCAGATCAAAATACGTTTAGAAAGCTGGCCAAAGGTACTCCAGATCAAGCGCTTCCTGTTAGGAAAGCAGATCTGTTAACAGTGTAGTCATCAGCTGGATTAACCAAAGCCTCAGAGTGCAGAAGAACAGTTTGTTAAGTCTCTCTAGATGCCACGACTCATTCAAAACCCTCCCACCCAAGCCAATCTATTGCTCAATGCTCACCTATCTCTATGCCACAGGAAGCATTCCCCTCAAAAAAAGAAACTCACTCTTGTTCATGTAATACTGAAGAGTTTTGAGGACAAGAACAATGATTCATTCCCAGGCTTTCTTGTGAAATAGCAATAGCTTCCCCCCACTCCACTTCTTACATACCTCAGTTCTCACTTTTTCCCATTTCTTTCCACACCTTAAGACACTACCTAGTGAATACACTAAGAGACAACTACTTTTTAGACTGGAAAAGAAGACGTAGATAAATTCCAGGTACTGTGTATTTATACATAAAGCTCTTAAAAATAAATGATGGCTTCTCCATTGTATTAATAAAGTCATAATTTTTTTTTATCATTTGAGGAATTGTTAGACCAAAATGTAACAAGGAAGAAGTATGCTACATTTAAATAATTTGTAACAGCATTTCTGTAAATAACCTTTTAAATGTAGATGTAACAATATTAGTTTCACAAACATGTAAGAACCTAGACGTTTCATAATCTTTAAAACCTGAAAGAACTCAATGTTGCATTGAATATAAACTCCTTTCTTTTGAAATGGAATGTAGATTATAAGGTATCCTGGCATGGAAAAATCAACACTTACAGCATTTCTTCTGCTACTTCAGAGTATTTATACCTTAAGAGCAGTACAAGTCATTTGCCTATTCCAGAAGTCACTTGGTTGCAAAGTTTTCATTTGGCTTGCAAAAAATTTTAGTAGAGAAAAGCTAAAGTATTCCAGGACAGGTCCACTTTGGTACATGCTCTCCTCCCTTCCTTACCATACCTACTTTAAAGATATCTGAATCCATTAGATGTAGGACATATCTAAACCCATCCATACTTGATACATCTAAATCCAGTCATAAAATTCCCTGTAGGTATCCCAAGAGTTAATATGTAATTCATGCAAAACCTAAGCCACTCTTAAATTAAAAGTACTACTAATTTTTTGTGAATACTACAGGATTAGACATACTAATTTTTATGTTGAGGAAAGGAGTGGTGTAGGCTTTGGATGAAGCCTCTAGTCAATAGAACAGGTCTCACCAACACCAAAAAAAGATTGGCACTATCAACTCTAACTTTGAGATTAATTAATTTTTGAAGTTTAAAAAACACATTCTTAGTGCTCTTTAATTTTTCTTAGTGTTAAGTACAAGAGATGCCAAAGAGTTTAGTGGTAGCAGCATCTCACCTGTATCTCCAAGTTCATACAGTGTAAAGCCATCTACGTTAAGATAACCTTGAAATCTTTCTCTATTTATCCAGGATGACAAATCACCATCTTCATACTCTAAGAGGAAAAAAAGAAAAAAAAAAGGAATGCATTAAAAATAATTTTTTTTTTGTAACATGGGCAATCAGATTTCTTTCTTTCAGTACTATAGAGGCAAACACTTTTTTCCCCTTTTCCTTTTATTGTTGTTAGACAAAATCTCTCACTTTTCTGGACATTTCTCTTCAGTTTTAAAACTTGTAAAGCTATTTTCAATTGTTGAACATAGCAAAGCATGAAAAGTTGATTTGATGATTATTTTTTCCTGAATCAAGGATAAACAATACTATTCTAGAAGATAACTGTGACCCAATGCAGAAAGGAACAGTTTCAATCCCTGTTTTTAAAGGGGGGGGGTGTGGGTGTGTGTCAAGTTTCAAACAAAGTAAAGAGATACAAAAGTAG